CTCTCCATGCGGGAGCCTTCGGAGGGCCTTCATGCAGCAGCACAAGTCGCAGGTCGCGATGTAGCGTCCGATATGGCAGGACATCTGTGGCCACCAGTAGTTGCATGAAACCAGCTCTAGGGTTTTGAACCGCCCGGCGTGTCCGGCGATGTCAGGAACAGAGCCGGCCCGGGCCCACGTGACGGTCTCCTGCCAGTCTGACAAGTGTGGGAAAGATGGTTCAACCCCCATAGCTGGGTGGTCGGCAACCAGGCAGCGTAGATGGTGCCACTGCTGCAATAGAGAGCAGGGTAGGGACAGCTCGGGGCGACTCGAGACGCCCCGCTGTCACGTTGTGTGACAGCGGTGTCACAGGATACGAGTAGTCGTCTAGAGTGTCCTACCCCTGCTGAAGGGAACGAGTCCATAGCCAAAGAGTGCTGCCTAGTAGAGTTGGTGCCCAAGGCATAGGCCGGGCCAGTTGAACAAGCCGTTCGGGCGGGGCGTGACGTAACGCGGTCACGCCCGACGGTTCGGGGGTTCGAGGGGAGTCGCCCCGCAGCAGGGGCTGCGGGCCCGAGACCCCTAGAGCGCTTGAGAAGGGTTGCCAGTCCAAGGGGCGACATATCTCCTTTCCTGGAGAAACGAGTCGCTGTGGCTCCTAGACACCGCGTGACGGCGCGGTGTGACGCGTGACATGCGGGCCCGATCAGGCCCGCACCCTCCCATCGCCCCGTACCAGGGGAACCCAGAGCTTGAGGCCAGAGAGCAAGAAGAAGTGGCTAGGACAAGGGTGAACATAAGAGACAAGAGCCTGAGCTGTCCAGCCCAACCAAGGGCTCAGGTCAATGAGGCAAGCTAGCCCGGAGTGTTGGAAGTCGTCTAGACGCCCCTTTCCTGGGGTATGGTCGCAGCAACCCCGCTCTAGGGGACCAGGCCAGAGTAGGGTTCAAAGGAAGAGACTTCAATGCTAAACCTAAGGTACAGGAGTAATACTGTAGTCTTTATATACTGTGGGCGCTAGGGGCCGATCGGGCCCGCTGAGGGTCGATCAGAAGGGAGCAGGGGATGTCTCTGGTCGTCCCTGGTCGCTCCGCTAGGAGCCCAGGGACCATTCCTCTGGAAAGGAGCCATGCCAAAGTCGACACTAAGGAGTGTTTGGCAATGCAACAGTAAGGAGCTCCCTCCTGATCCCTGTGGTTGTCTGGGGCCGATTGGGCCCGCTGTCAAGGGCGTCCGGCGGCGCATCATGATCCCTGATGGCGGGTCATGATGGCTTGATGGCTGACTAAAGCGTGATCCGTGATTATGTCCCTTCTCTGGGATATTAGTGTTGTTGCTCAGTGCTTTGAGCTTGTGAATATATGAGGGCTTGTCAAGCCCTAGGGCTCTAAGGGTGGTGAGGGCCCGTCGGGCCGTATAGGGCCCGACGGCGCGACCCGAACCGTCACAGGCGACTCACATATCGTGGCAGAGCTCGATGATGCGCCTCCTTAGGTCCTTGTCTTTGGGGACTACGACCTTGCCGCAGAAGTACAAGAGATTGCCCGAGACGGCCCACTCGTCCGAACGTGATGAGCGGGGGCCCCGAACTTGACCTCGGACCTTTAAGAGTTGCCGGGCCGCAAGCGCGATGGGCTCCTCTAGGTCAGGCTCACCGGATAGCGCTTCCTTAATGTCGCGGACAAGTTCGGACCTAGGCCCAGAGACAGTGACGGCCTCAAGCGCGCGAACGTGGAAAAGCTCAGGGCGCAAGAGGGTGACGTCCGAGTTGTTTTCGGAGATGCCGTGGTCAGGCCGGCGGGAGAGAGCATCGGGGCGGCCCATCTGGCGACCTAGGACGTGGTGCAGCGTGAAGTCAAACCTAGAAAGGTACAACGACCATCGGGCTTGCCGACGGTCAAGGTGCTGTGCCTTTCGGAAATACTCCAAATTCTTATGGTTAGTCCAGATCTTGACCGGATGCGCGGCGCCCTCGAGGAAATGCCGATACTCCTCAAGTGCGCGGATGATCGCGAGCATCTCCTTGTCGTGAATCTCGTAGTTGTGCTGGACATCATTTAAGCTTTTGGAATAGAACGCTACAGGGTGCCACTTCCTGTCCGGGGCAGATTGTTGTGAAAGAACCGCCCCCGTCGCATAATCTGAGCTGTCTGCTTCAAGTCGGAAAGGCCGAGAGTCATCCGAGATCGCTAAGACGACCGCGTCTTTGATAGCTTGAAAGGCGGCGGCTTCGGCGTCTCCCCAGGCCCATTTCTGGTCTTTCTTGGTGAGCGCAAAGAGAGGCTGCGCAAGGGCCGAGAAATCCCGAATGAACCTGCAGTCGAAATTAGCAAACCCCAGAAACTGCTGGACGTCCTTCTTGTTTTCGGGCGGAGGCCATGCAGAGACTCCAGCGACCTTAACGGGATCCATTTCGACGTGGTTGTGAGAGATGATAACCCCCAGGTACTCGATCGACGATTTCTCGAAGTCGCACTTCTCCTTGCAAAGGTACAGCTTGTGCATTTGGAGTCTCCGAAGGACTTCGCGGACGATCTCGCGGTGCTTACGGAGGTCCGAATGTGCAATAAGGATATCGTCAAGGTAGATCATAACGTCTCCTGAAAGAATGAGATCATGGAAAATGTCATTCATCATCATTTGGAAAGTCGCGGGGGAGTTTGTCAGGCCAAAATACATCACCAAAGGTTCGAACAACCCTCGGTTAGTCCGAAATGCCGCCTTCCACTCGTCTCCTTCTTTAATCCGGACGTTATTGAAGCCCCAACGAACATCGAGTTTAGTGAAATAACGGGCACCCTTGAGCCTGTTGATAAGGTCATTAATCAACAGGAGGGGGTACCGGTTCTTAATCATCATTGCGTTGAGGGCACGGTAGTCCTGGACAAACCGAAGTCCTCCGTCCTTTTTCTTAACGAAGAAGATGGGGGAAGCCATCAGAGATTTCGAAGGGCGGATATGGCCGGTGGCAAGTCCCTCCTTGATGAACTTGTCAAGTTCGCGCTGTTCGAGGGGGGAGATCGGATACACCTTGCAATCAGCGGGCTTCGCGTCGGGAACGAGTTCGATAGCGTGGTCCTAAGCCCTCCGCTCTGGTAACGTGTTGAAGGACTCCTTGTCAAAGACGTCTTGGAACTCCTTGGCCCAGTCCGGAATTTCCAAAGGCGGGGGGGCCGAAGTTACGGGCGAAGGCCTCTGCAAGGCGTTGGGACACGGTGCTCCCAGCGCGAATCTCCTTGATTGGGCGAAAGGAGGTGTAGAAGATGCGGTCACCGTCTTCAAGATGCTCATCGTCGTCGAGATCTAGTGAGGGACTCGGAGGGTCCAAAGTAGCTCCGAGTTCGTCGTCAGCATCGTCTGGACTGGCAATATTGATAGTGCAAACAGTGGGGAAGGCGCCCGAGAGCAAACACGATTTGAGGAGTCGGAGGCGCCGAACCTCAGCGCTCGCTCGGTCCGTTCCTCGTCATGGCAAGTGGAGCAGCTTCGGGGGCAGCGACTCATTTTCACCTCTTTCGTTTCCCAGTTGATCTCGGGGTTGTGTTTCTTGAGCCAGGAGTATCCGAGTATCAAATCCTGTTTCCCAAGGTGGGTTACAGCCAGCTGAACGCGTTCGGTGTCAGCCCGTCCTCCGCCGACTACAACCATCTTGCAGCGCGTGTCCCACCAGACCAAGTCTACCCACGGCCATTCACCGGCCTTAAGGAGCACGACGCTCGACCTGGGCACCAGGCCGAGTCTACCCCACTTCCGGCCCAAGGCCAGCCGTTCGTCCCCATCGACAGCGCGCCCGGACGTCCGTGCAAGCATGCTGGCCTATTGCGCTCGGCTTCAGCTGATGTGGATGTGGGCGGACACAACTCACCGGCCACCCCCGCCCCCTCGCTATTCTCGCCATCATTCAGCGCAGTCCATTGGGCTGGTAAGCTCAGTGTCGGAAGGAGATGTCTGGTTGTGTGTCAGGGAAAACGACCAGAGGGAGATGGTGGGGGTTGCAGAAAGAGAAGTGGTGGGGTGTTGTCACATTGATTGCCACCGTGATGGCCTGCATGATCTTACCTACAGGTTCATGTTTCTTGTATCCTACAGGTTCCTGTCTCCTACAGGTTATGGGAACCTACAGGTTACAGGAACCTACAGGTTACAGGAACCTACAGGTTACAGAAACCTGCAGGGTTACAGAAACCTGCAGGGTTACAGAAACCTGCAGGTTACAATGCCCATGGGTACGTGCACAGGATCAGAGTCGGTCTCAAATTTCCATGATAGAGGCAAGAAAATAGTTTATTCAGGGGTCCTGACCCTCTGAATAAATCTAAAGACTTTTGAGGTTTATTGGAGACCCAAATGGGGATTTCAGTCCGATGGGGTCCTGATGGAACCGCCGGCATCTTGGCAAAGGGGTTTATTCATGCAAAATCCATTAAATTTCCAAGTCACCCATTTTATATAATGATTATTCGGCTTTTTAGAGATCATTTTTTCTTTCCTCTTCCATATTACAAAACAGAAAAAGGTTCTTTGTGAATTTATATCACAAAGAGAAGTGCAGTGAAAACCACATAGAAAGGTCAACTTTAAATACCCTTTCAATTCTTTCTAAAATATATTCTTGTTTTACACTATTAAGAAAAACATGTTATATGTTCTGTCTATGGAAACATGTGTCAAAATGTGTTCAATCCATATTGGAATGGGAAGGAAGTTTTTATATTCTCCCTATATATAGTACCTAGTATCATTATATTTGGACCTTTATATGATATGGGTAAACCCTATTCTATATCCACACAAGAACAAATCTTACACACAAGTGGTTCCAGAGAGTGTACATTATTTATCTACATCGAAGACATGAGTATATTTTGCGCTGGTATCGATGGAGAAAGCAAAAGGAAGGAGAGTTAGTTGAGTGGGTTAAACTAGAGATACAGCTAAAATGAGAGTTGTTACAGAATCAGTGATCATCATCATGATGCGAAACCAGAACCGCGAAAGTAAAGAAAGAAAGAAAGGCTTCACATAAACGCCACCTCCGTCATCCGCCGCGTCTCGTCGTCCTCGATTTTGCTCGTTTGGAACACGATGCTAGCCCCGTTGTGTATTGTGGGATTGATGCTTGACCGCCGCGACTGCTGTTGCGCAAACTCGACGGGAAGTGTGGGCGATGGCGGGAGGAGGGAAGGATCGAAAGAACTGGGGGCACCAGCCGCGGACTTGCGTCTGGTGGCGGTAGAGTTGGCCCGCCCAAGGCCGACCGAGCGCCGGAAACTGAGCAACAGACTTTTCCTCCGCTCTCCACCAGCAACCTCGTCAGGCGCTGTCCCGCGTCGTTTGGGTGGAGGCACGAGTGCCAGCGTTGGCGTGGCTGTGCTGAGTGCCACAATTTGCGCATCAGGCTCGGGACTCTCCGTCCGGATGACGGAAAACGGGTCTTCGTGCTCTTCAGCAGGTGTTTCGACGATAACCTGGAAGGCGCGATGCTCAGGCTCGATTTCGATCGTGCTATTGCGGACGTTAACGCTGCGCATCCGACCAAAAGCACCATTGTCCGCGTTGCTGCTTGCCGACTCTGAAGCAGTGTCTGGCATAAGGGAGGGAACACCCAGACTTGACTCGCCGCTCTCTGAAGCATATCCGCCGTCCATACGAGGCAGACTTGTTTCTCGTGTTGGGACATCACGAAGTAGTGGTGATGGCGGTAGAGGCAGGAACTCCGGAGACACAGGGGTAAACCCCGCATCCACAAGTGGGGTTGGCGCAAATGCAGATATGAGGGATGAAAAGGGGGATTCGACGACAGGGGAAGGCGACGGTGGAAGGGGGAGCTGAGTCGGGTCAGGTGGAAAGTCTGACCATGCTTGGAGCAGCGGTGGAGACAGATTGCGGCCACGGGAAAGATTCAGTGTTGGAGGGGGTGCCCTTGGGACTTTTGTCGGCGTCATACTCGCCTCGTCGATAGATTTCTCGTCGGGGGACGGTTGCGGAGTTTCGACCTCGACAACCGCTTCCAGGCTCATGGGAAAAGACTCCTTCAACGGTGAGGCAGCGGGCGAATTCCCCCCAAATCGGAACTCCGTCAAGCGCGCTTTGACATCTGCCTCCCGGTCGTCTTTCGAGGTCCGGTTCTTGGCCTCCCATTGATCTTTAATGCGTGCTGCCTCTGTTGGCTGTCGAGCCAGCGTTGATCGTGGTTCAGGCTCCGGTGAAGCGACTACGGCAATCTGTTTGTCCTGTTGGGCTTCCTGGACACTGAGAGGCAGGGCAGGTAGCAGCCCTCGCTCGCGTAAAGCCGCATTGCGTGCTGCAGTGTCGACAGCAAAAGAGCGCTTCCTTGCTGGCGGCGGTGAAGTCGAACGCGGCCGACTACGGGTAAATTTGGTCGTGAGTTTCCTCAATAGGGTGGTGCGGGGCTGAGGTTGGGGCGGCGGGGCCATTAGAGGACGGGCACGAGGGGGAGGAGGATCTTTTCGCTTGGATGTCGACCTAAACCAAATTGCGGTTAGCACGGTAGTAGGCTAAAGGTAAAAGGCTGCGTGCGGAGCAACGAACCCTGGCGGTGGGCGGTAAGCCGGATCTTGGTCTTCAGACGTCCTGAATGAAGTTGGCAATGATGCCGTTGCGGTAGGCATTTGCAACTCACCGAGAAAGCAGTTTTTTGCTTAGTATGGCAACGTCCAGCACGGGGTCTGGCTGCTGGTTCCGCCGTCCAAGCAGACTGGGAAGGCCGAATGCTTTTCTGCGTGTCGAATTGCCCCCGATCGAGGGTGGGCTGGAGGTGCTAACGCGGTTGACTAACTTGAAGGAGCGGATGCTTGTTCCAGCGCGCGCAGCAAATGGACGGACTGGAGGGTGGAAGTCAGCCATGGTGGTGAGCAGAGAAGAAGCATCAAGACGGCCGACGCAACAGAAAATGACGGACCTGGCGCTTCGCTTGGCGAACCTGGGGAAAAAGAGGGGGTAATATATTCTATCCAGGCAAATGTCACATCAACTAGTCACGGTATCAGCAGGTCAACAGGCTAAGTCATATGCTATTGCCCGAGTACAAACGCGGAGGAAGCTCAATGAGGACCTGTGAGCGGAATCTAGTGGAATCCGCTCTCTATCCTGGTGGAGCTGGCGGAAAGGTCGCTACTTGTGACTACCTAGAAGTTTTCATACGTCATGATACGATCGAAAAGTGATCGCCGGCGGCAGAAAAAAATTTGGAAAAATTAGCCCCTTTTTGGCCACATGAGAAATATGCCCCCTAGGAGTCTAGGACGACCAAATCTTGGACTGTTTAGAAATTAGGAGGATCATGGAAGAAAATTCTTCTTCACGACTCCATGGTATACGAACAGATACGAACGGAGGTTTTGCGATTTCAAAGCCCAGCACTTAGGCAAGATCAATTATTCGGTCGCTCTCCAATGGACCGTCCGTACGATGCATCAAATATGAGCGCAAGGGCCACACATGCAAATAAAGCATACTTGTAAAGATGACTGATAAAGGAAGTCTATCGAGTTCCGGGTATAAGTACAACAGGCTCCAGCACATTAAAGTTTAATAACAGCGGTCTACGCCTACCACCAGCCCATGTCGTATGACCTTACGAACTCGACGCCATGGTCGTGCAATGCCTCTATAGACTTCTTGGAGAAGACAGGCAACGCCCCCTCGATCCACAGCGACTGCAGAACAGGGTAATGGTGGGCCGCAAACATGAGCAGGCGACGCTCCCCATCGTACCCGTCATCCATGTAACCTCTTAAAGCAAGGGCCCGCAGGTTGGGGAGCGAAGGGAGCGGGAGATGCGGCGCAAGCTGCCACGTGCTCGGAATGAGCGCGAGGGACTTGACGAGATGGTTGTTGGCAGAATGGTAGGAGTCAAAAAGTTGGAGGTCGAGATCGACGAGGCTTTCGCCATGTGACGAGTTGAGGAATGCGAGCAGCGAGATCGTGGAGGTGACATCAAAGTCGGGAACGTTGGAGATGCTGGGCAAACCCAGCGCAAGGTGGGTCAGTGCCGCAGAAGAGCGGGTGAGCATCGCCGAAAGAGTGTCAAATGGCTCCCGCTGGTACTGCCAAATGGCTAGTCGTTTCAGAGATGGCGCGGTTGTGTTATTGAGGACTTCGGTGATATACATGTCGTTGCATTGGTCGAACGACAGCGAAAAGATGTGGCATTCTTCGACGGGCTTAAGCGACTCCAGATCACGGGCAAATAGTCCGGAAACGATGGCAAGGCGGGTGCCCGGAAGGAAATGCGGCATAACGAGTAGAACATCATCTACAACGCAATGCTTGAGCTCGCAGTTGTTGAGACGATTCCAAACAGGAACGAGAGAGGGCAGCCACTGTGGCCGAAGTTGGTCAACGAACCGCAAATCCTCCAAGGCGGTAAGTCCTTGAAGTAACTTGGGTATAGCTTCATCTTGCTCATCTGTCGACGCGATCCGTAGTCGTTTCAGCGCCGGAAAACCAGCCTTGTGCTCCAAGAAGCGCTGCATGAGGTTGTTGTCGAGTATGAGAATGGCAGATTCGAGCCGATCGGAGGAGGCCAGGAGGCGAGCAAAGATGTCGTAGGTTAATGTGGGTGCCGGACCGGGTATGAGCTCCAGCGTCAACGGGGCTTGAGCAGACCGCGACACCTGCAATTCTGTGCGATTGACTGCCCGCGAGTAGTTGGAATGCGTCGAAGTCTTTTCGATGTCGTCCGCTATCCAATCTCGGCAGTTAATGTCGCGCCAGAAACGCGGGTCATGGACAGCTATTTCCCTCCACCGAACACACACTTTCGTCAACGCCCACACCGGATTTCTGCGGTTGAATGTGGAGAACCACGGGTCAACGAGATGGGAGAATATCTCGCTGAGGAGCTCGTCGGGCAGTCCCAGGATGTGTGGAACTTTGAGTTTGGGGAGAGATAGGCCGGCATGGAGATCATGGACGGGGCGGAAAACAGCCGCAATGAAGGATTTGCCGGAACATAGAACGGTCATCTCGAAACTGGAACGTTACTATTAGCGCGACAAACAATGGAGAGCGTCTGGACCCATTCTTACAGAGACGACATGGCGGTTGTTGGCAAGATTCAGTTGCCGGAAACTGACAGCGTGTCGTGTCTTGCATCATCGTTCGGGCAAGGGTCGGCAGTCGATGACGAGTGGTGATTTTAGTCATAGATTGGTAGATTCCTTATCTGATTCACAAACTGTCTATGTACCGATATATGTGACTACGAGCTACGATGCTTCCAGTAGCGAATCACTCTCACTATTCCAAGTGACTTGCAGACCCCGCGCCATCAAACGGTTCACCCGCTTTTCCGACTTCCCGTCCTGGCCCTCGACGGGAGGGCTGGCCATAATGACCTGCTCCAGAGTGGACCCCCGATAGCGATGGAGGGCTTCCAACATGTTGAGTGAAATAAGGTGGGGCGCGTACCAGAGTTCCAACCTTTGCAAACTAGGCACAACCACCGTCTTCTCCTGATTAGACTGGCTAGCTCGAGACTTGGTCCGCCGGGAAAACTCGCAAGCCACGTTGTCGAGATGGCTCCTAATGCAGAAACCGGCCAAGACTAGCACGGAAATGGTGCGGACAGAGGGCAGACGAAGTAACCGCATGACATCGACGAGTTTGTATGAAGCGGGGCAAAGTTGGAGAGTTTCAAGTGCACACCCACTGCGCTCGAAGAATGGCAAAAGTTCTAGGTCCCGGAGAGTGTCGCACGAAGCGTCAATCAAAAAGGAAGTCAGCAGTGGTGCAGCGCCGATCTTGCGGAGGACGGCAGTGGAGAAAGCAAAGCAGCAGTTGTAAAAGTCGAGTTGCGATATGGAGACGACGAATGGGGGCCTCAGTGTCGCGTCACTCTCCAGACCGCTGCATTTGAATAGGGAGAGTTGCGAACCAGGGCCCAGTACTGAGAGCACTGTGAGAGCGTTGTCCGCATCGCACTCCCAAAGATGGCAGATTCGAAGCTGGGAGAATGTAATCATATGGAAGAGGGGATGCTTGAATAGCATGGTAGAGTCATCATACACTGTCAACTCTCGAAGCTGAGGGAATGATGTGTATTCTGGGTCTGCAAGATAACCCTGCAGTCGTTGCTCGTCTTCTGGTGGAATTTGGATGAAGTAGGTCCACTCAGAGACACTTAGTTCAAGTTTGTGGAGTCGGGGAAAGGGCCCGCGGGACAGGATTAGAGCCAGCCCTAGATGTGACAGGCTAAGTTGGGCGAACGCCCATTGGTGAGCTTGCTCCAAGGAAATCAGCAAAAAGTAGACTGCATCGTGGTCTTTCCAGACGCCCATCCGCACGTGCATGTCTCCCGCTTTGAGTATAGCTAGCTGTTTCCTGACCGTGTAGACAGGAGCCACCGTGCGATCGTTGTGGCACAGGTATGGGACGAATTCTCTCCACAATTTGGGGATTGCGACTGCGACATTGCGCCATCGACGACACACTCGGATGATGCTGTAGAGTGGGTGGTTTTTGGTGAAATAGATCGACGGCGGATTATCATGGACGGCGAACTCAAATATAATGGCAAGTAGCTCAGTAGGAAGGGCGCGCAGTGCGACACTTGGGGGAGCTGGGCTATCGGGTTCGAGTTTTTGAGGTGGAAATTCACTTCCAGTCGCGTTCGTACTGAGGAGGGTGTTATTCGAAGGTGCATCGTCCTCCTCCGAGTCATCTGAATTGTCAAAAGTATAGATATATCTGACGAGAATGCTCATAAGAAAAAGTGCACAGAGCAAAAGTAAAACGATTTAGACGCACTCTGAGCCTGTTGAGGGCATATTGGGATGTGGTGGCACAGAGGAAACTTTCGTGAGTGTGACGGTGAGGCCAGTTGCGTTTTTGAGTCACGACCTATTTTGTCATTGCTCATTGTTGACCCGAATGAGTCGTATGTGGGTCCAACTAAAGCATTCCACGAGTTTTCAGCTCCTGACACAAGGCCCTGTAGACGTCAGAGCTTACTGGATGGATTTGACCGTGAAATATTAATACGCCGCAGTATTCATGGGTTCCGGCGTATTCGAAAGAGGCAACTCTATTTGCTTGTCTCGGAGTGAGCATGTGTAATGTGTCATAGTAAAAAAGCGCGCACCTGATAAGCTTGAGCCATGAAGTTCGTTATGACAGAATCAAGTTATAAGCACTCCGTGTGGAGTGGGCTGGAGAACATGGAAGGTCCGAGTGAAAGCAATTGCAACAGAGCTGGGAGAAAGAGAGTTAGGTGTCACAGTGATGAGTAAAACTACCAGTATGATGCGAACAGTTCGCGGGCGGCCCCCTTTAAAAACAGCTATTATTTACTACTTGCTATCGTCCACTACTTCTTTCGTATCATACGGTATTGGCGGAGGTCAACTGGAGTACTGTTTGACCACATGCTTTGCGAGGAAGATGATAAAAGTCGTTGCAGGCAGGATTTTAGTAGGCTAAAAAGCACCACAGACTTTCAATCCCCCGAGTCCTTTGAAACCAAGACTTCTGAGAATTGTGTTGGTCGATTCCACCTTATCTATTAGAAAAGCGCAATACGCACCAATACCCCGAGACTTAAGGATGGCGATACATTCTTCCACATAGAGACGGTGACCATCCTCGATATTCAACAGTTCGAGTTCCAAGCCCGTGTCTGCAACGTCTGTTGCCAACAGCGCACATAGCAATATCGGGACCGCCTCCCCACCATCGACCTTGAACGCTTTCCATGATGCAGGCATGGAGAATACAAACTTGAGCCGCCCCATCGACGAGAAGTGGTGGTGGAAGTAGTACTTGAGGAAACGAACGTCCACAAGCCCCAAGGACGCGAGTCGTGGAAATACGCTCGTGAAGCGAACACAATGGTGAATATCATGGAAGGTCGCGTTGTTCAATTCCAGGGCGGAGATGTTTTTCATCGTTTGCGCCAATGCGCCTTGGACTTGTCTTTGTTCTTCTAGCGGCAGTTCGGTGAGATCCAGATTGCGCAACGACACATGCTCGACGAATGAGAACGGTTTAACTGGAAACTTGGACGCGATGGTCGTGACGAGTGTGTGAAGCTGGCGAGTTGATGTAATGTCGAGAGTGAGCCGTTTTGTGCAAAACAGAATACCAGCGGATGAAGTCGACGCAAACAACTCGAGGAATCGTTGCCAATTGGAGTCCGAGATCCGCACGTCCGAATAGAGCAAAAATTCGCTCCTTCGTGACCACCTCATGCAGACCAAACTGCACACTCCAAGAGCCTTCGAGTCGCCTTGGGCAGAGAGGTCGTCCATCACGCGCTCCCAGAGCTCAATCGGAAGTCGCGAAGGAGGCATTAGAGTAGTTCAAGTCAGCCTTTCGGAACTTGCTGTTATATGTTTTGCATGGCGGTAGTGATTCTCTTGAGTTCATGCCGTTCATTTCAGCGCTCAAAATGCAAGCTGTCGAGCGGCGTTGTGGGGTTTGGCGGCCAGGTGACCAGGTTTTTTTGTCCATGCTGGCACACTGTCGTACAGCTTCACTTCAATCTGCGCGCGACCTCTCCATCCGGCGCCCCCGGCTATGCTCCGCCCCATGTAACGTGGAATGCGACCGTTCCCAGCGCCGCGCTACTTTACGCAACGTAAATAGACGTGGGGTCCAAGTGGAGCTTGAGGGCCAAGACGAGCGGTAAAGCTGCCTCGACGTGAGAGATTTACATCGTTGACATTGTTGGTTGTGGTCAAGTTGGGAAAACATCACGTGCTTGATCGGTCTGGTAAGTAAGTACTACTCTACTCGTACTGAACGCTCACTGGCAATAAGTGGCACGGTAACGGTACACTGTACAGTACAGTATTTCCATCGCACATGACAAGTCATCAAGTTGAAATACTTGCGGATGAGTTCATTGACAGGAAAGATTTCGTTGCTGAAGCCACGATTCGACCGGGCCGGCGACCCGGTCCGAGGGGTATCCTTGAATGGTGGGAAGTGTGCGCAGGCTGTCGACTTGGGACTATAGATATATGGTAGTCTTGACTATCATTGTAGTATTACTCTGTGCTCTTCTGAGTGAGTCCCTCCCCCAAAGATTCACTGCTTCAACGTTGCGATGCTGCACACCAAAATGTGTGCTTGTTTTTGCGTTTTATAGTGATTGATTTTACGTCGAAACAAGCTTTATACTATGCTTCTTCAGAGCAGAAGCTTTCCCTGAGTTTGTCTCATCTAAAACTAGGTGATTCAATTCCCCTCCGAACTCTCCGGTTCTCCGATGCAAAAGCTAAGCTCTCAGACTGCTTCTTCTTCTTGCCTCCCTCCTCCACTGCAGTTTCGCTCTTTCACTGCCGAATCTCCCTCGAGCAACCTGAAACCCCTCAGCCTCAACATCTCCATGCTCGTTCTGGCGTCTCGACTTAGAGCGGTATTGCGGCGTATGATCCCCTGTAAGTGCGGAATCCGGTTTTCTTTCCATCCCTCCAAGTTTCCCTGGCAAGTTCCTGCGATTGCCATCCCCGCTCTCGACCACTTCTCAGGTTAACCTTTCTTGTTTCTTTTGCTTTCCTCCTCCTACCGATCGACGCTCATCCATTTGCGACACAGCTACTCATGCCGCGCAGCGGGGAGTCCGAGGACTTGCCTCAACCTCAAATTCGAGAAGTCGAACGTGTAGATCTGACGCGGGTGGAGCCGACTCGTTGCCCACATGTTTGAAAGATCGCCAGCCGGAGATGTGAGTGCTGGCGAGAGGCGACTGTGACCGTTAACGATGATATGCAGAGCTTTGGGGAGCAAAAAGCGGCCCAAGAAGCGTCCTCTGGTAGAGAGACCAAGCCGCCACCGGCGCGCATCTTCTGTTTCGTTTGTTTCTATTCCGACCGCGCATTGAATGCCGCAAATGTAGAGCCTGTTGGGTATTATTGAACCTAGCGAAGCGTATGGGCTTGAAAAGTCGAGAGTAGCCCCAGCAGAGTCTTGAAAACAGTATAGACTTTGAAGATGAAAAGTTCAATCTGCATGCAGACAAAGTGGACTGTGTTCTGGACGAGTGAAGCTATTTTTGGATGGGTCAATATGGGGATGACGACAATGGTTCTTAACAAATGTAGTGGAACATTTTTGGTGGGCTGAACGTTGAGAAGGGAAGAGGCTCTTGATTATGAAACCATCATTTTCAATTCTGCATCCATTCATTGCAACTCCCGAGCAACTTCGTCCCCTCCCTATAGCTCTCTGGAAAAGGACCAAAATGATTCCGAGCCTACCAACTTCGACTCGTAACCACTTACAGTGGAACAAGGTCATACTGGTGACTGGTCCAACCGTGCGACGGGCATTCGCGTTGTCAACACCTTGTGCTTGGCTGAACATTACGAAGACTCGGGAAGTCGAACTTCCCGACAAAAAGACTTTAGATTGGTTGGGCAAGCTAGGGTTCGAGTGCAAGTAGCGTGAAATGTGCGTTCATGCTGTCCAACTTTTGATTGCGACTGAGCTCCCTGTCTTCTCGACCCCAGACTCAGATGGGCCGATGGGCATTATAGATAGTATATAAACCACGAAGATGGGCTGTTGTCGACTCATTCCCCTCCAAGTTCACCCCCATCCTCAGACAAGATGCCGGGAGCTCTCAGAAACATGCCCAACCCTAATAACCAGAAGACTCGCAACATGTACCGTGTCTCCCTTATCATCTTAGCGATCTCCGATTGAGCCACCTCCTACAGCGATGTAGTCTTTGTTCATGACTCCACCGGAAGCCAGCAACCCTACCTCAACGCTGCGACCCAAGAATCTCGCAACTACGTCCAGGCATTTGCGGACGAGCTTTCCCGAAAGGGCGCTCCCGGAACTGCTCGCTACCGCGTCATCGCTTTCCGGGACCATCGCGAGCAGGGAGATCTGTGGACCGTCAACGCCTCAAACGATTTTACGGACAAGCCAGAACAGTTGCGGCAACAGTTCAGCAGTCTTGTTGCGGAAGGAGGCGGAGATGGGCCTGAAGCTCAGCTTGATGCTCTCGATGCAGCTCTGACTTCCCCTTGGAGACTGAATGCAAGACGAGTGGTGTTTCTCATCACCGATTCACCCCCGCACGGTGTTGAACCTGGCGACGAACCCCCAGCCAGTCATCCGAGTTGTAAGCTGCCGTCGTTATTCATTGGAGAGTTATCTCATGGCAAATAGACTTGACAACTAAATACCTCGTCGACAACTTCAAGAAACAAAAGATCAAACTTGTAAGTCATTTGCTTCCCTCTTATCCTTATCCTCATTCCAACGCCCACACCAGTTCGTGATCGGCTGCATTCCTACCATTAACAAATATAGAGTATTACTTCTTCCCCTTGACCTCCAAGCTGCCTTGGTTGACTTTCCTCCAGAACGCAGTATCCTACTACGAGAAACTGGTGAAGGACATCAACGCAGGGTGCGCTAATCATCCTTAGTTTTCCTTGCTCACTAATTCCACAGAGGCATTTACCGAACCCTCTCCCGTCCCACAACCGACACTACACCTTTGCGCAAACTTGTCGTTGGCTCCACGCTCTATGCCTCTGACGTGTTCCATATTGAGGACCGATGGGAGGACTGGATCGCTGACCATGCTGATCACGGTCACGACACGATTGCACACGCAATGCATACCAAGTTGACCACGGAGGGCGAGACATGTCATGAGGTCGACCACGGCGATCATGGAATCGATTACCACAAGGCGCCGATTACCCGCGCTCGTGTTGACGACATTGTTGGTCGGACTCTGGAAGCTCGGGCTGCTCGCAAGGTAAATTCCGACCCTGAGCCCATACAAATCATCATTGACAACTGTTTAGGCTGACCCCATTATGTCTTCTATCTTTGGCGATGATGATGACGATAGCTGAAGTAGTTAACCTCAACTCGCAACGTGAAATCCACGTTATAAAGCTTTGTCTCAAATCCGAGAAGATTGTTCGTGTTCGAATGCAAGGCAGTTTACTATTGTCCGTTGTCTGGTATTGGCACGCCTTCCACCAGAGACAAATTGGCGATGCGTAATGCCTCCTCTGCGGCATCTTCGTCCTCCTTTTCTTTCCTATACCTGTCCAAATCCCACCCGTCATCCTCCTCATCCTCTTCATCTTCAAACCACTCTGGGTTGTACTCGAATAGATCTCGTCCACTGAGCCCAGTGTTCTTGCCCGCAGCGTTCTGCGTTTCTTTCGCTTTCTTCAGGGCTTCTTGCTCGGCCAGTTTCTTGTCCATTCTTGTTTTCTTCCAGATCGCGAAAGTTTCTGGGGTGACAGGGGTAAGATTGGAGCCCAATTTGTGACGCTAGATTCAAGTTAGTCGTTGTTCGACAACGAGCAATTCCAAACAAACCTCGACTTCGAGGAACTCTTCCAGTGAGATGACGTTTGCCTTGGCCGCTTCTTCTGCCGCCTTGCGCTCTGACTTGAGCACAAATCCAGGCGGTAGAGCGTGTCGGTACATGCACTGATCGCCGTTGGGGCATTCCCAGAACCACCCAAATCGCTGTGTTTCGATGGCCTGGATGAAATGTTTGCAGACGATCTGAAAGGGAAATGAACAAGTAAAATGCGAGGGGGGAGAGTTAACAAACATCGGTCGTCGTCCGCGGGTTGCCGGCCTTGGAAAGAACGACTTGTTGTAGCTTTTCCTGGTCCCATTTGTCCATCGTGTCTGCCAGGCATGTCGTTTGGCGGCCAGAAAATAGTAGGAACGCAACTTACCCGCTAGCTTCTCCTCCCGGCTGTCCTCGTAGAGGTTCTTTTTCTCGACCTTCCTGTCGACATCGCGGTTGTGGCTGAACTTGCACTTGTTGCCCTTGTCGCAATGGCCCGCCTTGTAATATACGCAGAGCACAGTCTTGGGATCGACACCGAACGGAATCTTTTGCACGGCCTGGACGGGCTTGAACAGCTCAGCCTCCTCCTTCTTCCTTTTCTCCTCCTGCAATTTCTCCTTCGCCCGCAGTTCCTTCTCGCGCTCTTTGGCAAGGGTCTCTTTCGATTTACCGGCCAACGCCGACTGCTGCTGAATTCGCGCAACTTCTTGCTTGACCTTGGAGGATTTGTTTTTCTATGGAACGGCCAGTTGAGTTTGAGTTGAGGTGCGGGTCGCCAGATAGACACACATTTTTCATCCCGAAAGTCTATCGGGCGGTTTAGGGTTTAGCGATCGTGGTGGAAGGGCTCCAGTGAGGACACACCTTGTCCTCCTTGACTTTCGAGGAGCTTGCTTGCTGCTGCTTCTTTGGCGGCATCGTATGGGTTTAGGTCGTGGAGTAGGCGGTGCTGGTCGATGGTCACAGCTCGTGACTTGCTCGCTTCCGGCGCCCACGACTCGATTTCTTGCGTACGGCCGAAATGTCCTTATACCCTCGTCCGACGCTCCCTGAACTGCCCAGTGGCCGTAGTGAATTCGAGATTCTCAAATCCTCGCATCGATTTCTACGCGAAGACCAAGACCAAACCCAGCCCAAAGCCGCTTCGTGGGATGACCAGCTTGCTGAAAAGTACTATGAAAGTCTCTTCCGGGAGTTTGCAGTCTGCGACTTGAAGCACTACAAGTCCGGGAATGTGAGCTACTCCCTGCATCACAGCTATTTGTCTGAATGACACTCTAGTTTTCTCTTCGCTGGCGGACCGAATCAGAGGTTCTGTCCGGCGCTGGGGAGTCAACATGTGGCAACACGCGCTGCGCTCACCACAACCCCAGGAATGAAGACAAACGTAAACGTGGACGATTAACGACCCTAGAGCTGCCCTTTTCGTATGAGGAGCAGGGAGAAGCCAAAAGCGCGCTCGTCAAGACGGTCCTATGTGAAAAGTGTTTAGGAAAGATGATGTGGAAACGCCGAAAAGAGAAGGAGACATCGGGAACTGAGGAGAAAAGGCCTGTTGATGAAGACGACGAATACGGGCCAGTGGCCCCGACGACCTCCACAACGCCTAAAAATCGAGACCAAGATGAACCAAAGCTCCATATTTCCCGTTCATCATCTCCCCCTCAACACAAACCTCGTTCCCATTCACGGTCACGCTCCCCAAGACGACGGGACCATAACGAAAAGCAGTCACGACACCGTTCTCCTACTCGATCCACGAGATACCACACTATTCATAAATAACGCGTGCAAATGCAACCCCGCTCCGTTCAGCTAAAGCCCCATTGATGTTGTTTCCATATCAAAAACCACCCACCAAAAACCACCCCCGCTCTCAGCACTCTACCCATCCCAAACTCACGCCATATGCATTCCAACGACCACAGACACCCCATCTCGTCTCAGCTCGGAGAGAAAACTAGCGGTCTGGGTATCGGACACATCCAGGCGATCCACTCCCAGCCTTTCCAACCGCCTCCCTCTTTTATTCCGAGCGCGGCTGTCTATTATCGCCAGAATGGCATCGAGCTTGAGACATTTGCATCTAGTCAGACTGAGCTGGTGAAGATTAGGAACTACATCGTCTTCCGCAAGCATTTCTAGAGCGGGTGTTGGATCTACCATTGCGGATAGTCCAAGACGAAGACGTGCGAGATTATGGCGAATATGAGGGGAGCCAAGCATCGATCTTAATCTTTGGGTAGTGTCAGCGTCGGCGGAGGAACCGCTCGTCTTGGACTTCAGAAGTAGGATGGCGAGGTCTGTGAGGTTGACGAAGCAACCTACACAATCCATTGTAACACTGTTCAACAAATCCGGCTCGCCGCTTATCGTCAGCTTCTGCAGCGACTTGATGGCGACACATTGCAAGACAGTCGAAATGTAGTCGGGGGTACATCTGGAGAATTTGAATGCGATTTCGGTAGTGACGGGAGGCAGGAATTTGTCTTGCCAATAGGCAAACTCGACGAATGAAGCCAATTCCAGCGTGGTCTTTGGATCACCGTACAACTCACAAGTCCTGAGTTGCGGCAAGATGTTCTTGAAGGAGTCCGCGGTGTGTTGCAGAGCCATCGAACGGAAATGTTCAAGACGCGGAAATAAATAAAGAAACATTGGGATCGTCGTTGCGTCTGACTCCGGCGCATAACGGAACAGCGACAGAGCGCGTACATTGAAAAATGGTTGATCCGCTGTGAGGATTGTCAGCTCTTTGACGAGAATATCAGGCAGTCTGAGGGTGAGCGAGATTGCGCGTTTCATAACATGGGGAAGGAGAGCTGACAGAAATCGACAGAGGTCGTCCATCTTTGTGTCTTCGCGGAGCGGCGCTACGTTGATAGAGAGTGAAAATGGGGCAGCACCAGTCGCAAGAACTTGATTCAGTGTCGTTTGCATGCGGCTGCGGCTGCGGCCACGTGCTTTACAGACCGGGTGGCTGATGTGAAGGGCTTCGATTTGGCGGGGAATACGCTGCAGAATCTGTCGCCAGCGACGACAAGTTCTTGCAAGCGCCATCAACTCATCTGGCTTCCCATGCGCGGAACAGGGGGAGAGGTAGGAGGCGATCTCGAGGCAGAGCTCGCAAGGCAGGCGACGGATGGGGGCAAGGATGCGGAGGTGTGATTTGATGAATTTGCGGAGGTTAGCACGCTGGAAAGAAGCTTCGCCTTGACACCAGCCAGGACCCGTGGTTTCAAGCTGTTCGAGTTTGCCTTCGGCGTTGTGAATGGCCAAGCGTATGGCGGTTGTCTGCATGTCGGTCGGTGCAATGTTGTTCATCAGGAGCTCTGGAGTCGGACTTGTTACCAAGTCGTTGTTGCGGATATTGGAAAATGGGTCGCTGCTATGGAGAGTCAAAAGGGTGTCAAATTCCTTCAGAGCGAGTTTTTCACGAGTACCTCGCCATTGTTCGAAGTCGATGGATGGAAAGATTCAAAGAAATATTTTGATCGCGGAATCAAAATTGCTGACGTTATCACGGCTTAACTCGGAGACTGGAATTGCTTCAACGTATCCTCCTTGAGATAGCAGCGCTGCCGGAGCGGTCGACAAGGAGTATGGTAAAGCCGTTCCACAACGAGCAATTAGCGAGAAAGTCGGTAGGAACGAGACAGACATCGGTGCCATGAAGGTCCACTGACAGTCCTGATATCGTAGTCGATTCTGCATTCAACTTCATTCTAGACCACTAACGCAGGTTACAATAGATAATGATGACAAGGTCTAGATGTGCTGCTGCGCCGAAATCGTGGGTTGTGTCCGAAACCGCTCGTCATTCGACCTGATCTAATACAGCTGCTACAAACCTTCTATCCCAGGCATGCCTGAGCTACTCGCCTAGTTGTGGCAATTCGGAAGTTACACGGAAGATGCACGGAGTTCTACCGAGGCTCTTATATTATTTGCTGCTTCTCATCTCATGCCAGTTCAACCTGCCAAATGAGCCCAGCCACACCACTGCGCGTCTCCGTAGTTGGAGCTGGTATCGGAGGACTGGCCGCTGCGATTGCGCTTCGCAGAAGTGGACATCTGGTCCAGGTATCGTACCGTTTTCGACTGCGTGCAAAGCCACTCAAGCGCCGTCTTAGATATTCGAAGCTTCGGAGGCAAAGAGGGAAGTTGGAGCTGGAATCGGTTTGCAGGTCAATGCGTTGCGGGTACTCGAGCACCTCGGTGTTAGAAGGGAAAACCTCAGAGGCGTCGACTATGACGGGGTGAGTCTCTTCTTATCGCCGCTAGTTTACTTGCAGATTTACATCCGACAGATCACAAATTTTGATTCCGAAACTGGGGAGGGCGCCGCTCGGCCATGGCTCATCGCAGACGTTGACCAAAACCGCGTGAGCTTCTCATAAAGTCGCTCTTGTTCCGTTTAAGGCGCGTTATAGAGCATCCTATGCCATCGCGCCGATGTCCATAATGAACTCAAACGCATTGCTTGCGACAACCCTGGCCCAGGAACTCCAGCGGAGCTTCTTCAGGGTAGGAGGGTTATCGACTGTAACCCTGACACGGGTTCGATTACCTTGGGGGATGGCTCAGTCGTGGTTTCAGACCTTGTTATTGCGGCAGACGGCGTTCATGTGCGTTTGACTACGCACATTAGCTTTGTATTTTGACTTTTTGCAGTCAACTTTGCGTGCCAAGGTCCTCGGTTACCCCCAACCTGCCTTGGCATCTGGCATTTCCTGCTTCAGGACGGTCTTCGATGCGAGGAAGTTGGACACTCTCTCCGACCCAGAGTGGTTTACTGCAGGTACCGGTGTCTCTGGTCTACGAGGGATCCTCGTCAAGGACTCCATCAGTTATAAACTGATTGCCGCTTATTATTGTCGCGACAAGACTGTGGTGAATGTCGCGGCAGTATACGAGGATCCAACACAGGACGCTCCAGGTTTGGCCTATTTCTCCGCCATGTCATCCTGACAGTATTGAACAGAATGGTCTCCAGCGGGCTCGAGCGCCGAGCTGCTTCAGACATACCCGACCCTCCACCCAAAATTCCGCGCGTTCATCGCGCTAGCAGAACACGACCAAATTCTCAAGTGGCGGCTTCGCGTTCTCCCAGCGCTGCCTACCTGGACTCGGGGCCGGACGACGCTGCTCGGTGACGCAGCCCATGCGACCCTCCCCACGCTTGGACAAGGTGCCGCTCTCGCAATCGAAGAGGCCGGGGCACTCGGGTGTTTATTCCCTCCGGGAACGCAACCGCAACATGTCCAAGAGAGACTCAAGGCCTTTCAAAAACTCAGGAAGCCGCGCGCCGACTTTGTCAATCGGGAGGCAATCTCGCAGGTCATGGAACCGGAAAAGCGGGGGTTGTATCTTCGGTGTGCGTCTCTGATTTGTCCACGAATTTTCTTTTTTTTCATCGACTCTACAGCCCCCGAGTTGCAAGCGTATCTTGTTAGCCACAATGCTATCAAAGAAGCACAGGAATATTTTGCAACATTGTCCAGGTTATAAACTTCAAGCTGAAGCCGACAGTGTTCCGTCGCAAACATCCTGCGTAAATATCTCCCATAGCAGCAATTAAATACACGTGCCTACATCTTGAGACAGAAATTTTTAGCGGCGTTGTTTGGTCGTGTTGTCGAATGCCATCTGATGGGACATCAACGCATCTTTTTCATCGTGACATAACGTCTGACTCATGTTCGGCCTTTTCATACGAACGATTTGAGCAACCTCGATCCTTGAATGGGCTCCTCTCGTGGTTAAGTCATGAACGACCTTTTGGATGCGGTAATCATGATGGAGACCCAATGTTTTGCCACATTTTTCGCTCAAATTGAATCCGTAGCTCAACGCGGGCCCACAGAATGGCACCGACTCGAATTCTCCTCAAATACTACTCGATGTAATAGAGGCTGCAGATATGTGCCCTAAAGCAAAGTTGGCCGAGCTTCCCATAATCGAGGCAGTCGTCTCACATTTGGCATTGCCAACGATCGGTGGGGATTTTTCAACTGAACTTGGGCCCGAAGTCACCAATGACGATGTCTTCCAAACACAAGTTTCAGGTGCTGTGTTGACTATTATACTCACTGTTATTCGTCGATTGAGCGCCGCTTCCTCAACGGATGATATCTCCATCCCCAGCAATATTTCCCACTCTCTGATCTCGTCTTGGCCTTTGGTATCACATGGATTGTGGCTCTACGCCCGTGCCCTCAGGCGTCTCGGCATACATAATGGCCCTATTCACCAGCTTGGATCCCCCGCACACGCCTTCACAACTATTGTGTCTCTACTGCAGACCTATGCACACATCAAGTCCCTTCGAACTTTGGTCCAAAACACCACAACAACACTCTCCTTGGTTGCCTTCCTATGGAAATTCGAAGTTCAGGACCGTCGGCTCTTCCTACAACTCCGCGAACTTTTTCCTTGCGGAAGCTCTCCGAGCGCCGCAGATCTCGTCCCACTATACTTTTTCACCCTGCCTTCTCCAAAGCTTGAGAAACTCCTCACCTTGGTCGATAATACTCGAGGAGAAAGCGCCATGGTAGCGCTCGGCCATTTACGCAAGAATATCGCGGGCTTGCGCTCAAGTGGAGGCGATTTGGCGACGCTCAGTGCGCTGCAAGTGAATTTGAACAACGTCATCGGCCTCCATTCGACATTTCTCCGGCCGCTGTTGCTTACGGGGCAGTCAACGATCATCGCAGTGGAAGCACTCCTGCACTTGACTTCAAATTCATTGGAGAAACACCACATGCGGCCTTGTCCGCAGTATCATCGAGCGCATATGCAGATTCCTCAGCAATTATGTGTTGGCAGACGGTGTTCGGGGTCTGGTCCTAGCGTTAGAGCACGGACTTGCCGTAGGTTTGTTGCAAGCTCACCCTTGGATGGACGTCCGTGACGCTGCGGTCTCAGCACAACTTGAAGGGTACCACTGGCTGGTGCACCGTTACTTACCCGCGTTCTTCTCGTACCGTTCAGTTCTACGCCGGATGGCAAACGTACTCGCTCTGGTTGAAGAAGCGCTAGCAAGAACAACTCCACATAAGCAAATATTATCGCCATCCGCCTCCTTGAAGTCTGCCAGAACATATGCCATCATCTGGCGGGATGTGTTACGCCACGGTCAGAATCTGGCTATTGTCGGAAAGCTCGAACTGCGTTCAGACCGTTGTAACTTAGATGAGGTATGGTTCAGTTGGTATCATCGGATGGATCAAGTACATGCTAACGATGTCCAACTGAACTTGAAGTGCTTGCAAGTGGCCACGCTACGATGCGGAGTTTGCTTGACGACCAATTACTGCTCAAAAAGATGTCAAGCAATTGACTGGAAACGCCAACATGAGACTCGCTGCGCTTCTCATTCTCCCACGCTGGCGGTTGCAACAGGTCAGTAAATTTTCTGTCAAGACTTGGAAATCAAGCTTGACGGCCCATCCTGTAGACACAGCGGCCATCAAGTCCAACGGGCTGAGTCTGGCGCCAGAAGACTTGGAATTTGCGTTGAAAATAATTAAGCACGACCTGATCAATAACTCGACTGCGCTTTTCGAGTATTGGATGCAGCATATGACGTTCCCACTCCGCGCCTCGTTCAACTACATGCTTTTTCCACTCGAAATCACCTACTCTCCTCCACCTTGGCCCTCATCGGCAGCCACAGCCGTGCCAAAGTCCGCATTTGGCCTGATCTTTGCTATATTACCCGTGGGCGGCGTTTCGAGCGACCCAAAAGAAATCACGCTCGTGTGGGATCTTGAGCTCGAGTGCGAAATGGCCGATATCTCACCTTGTACTCTGGATGTCAGCGTGGTGATATCAGCTGCGCGACACAAGCTTCAAACATCCGAGCCAAAATTCTCTACATTTAGAGTTTGAGACTGTACATCATGTCATATAAGTGCTTTTGTTGCTCCTGCTGTGTCTAATTGATTCCATCTCAAGTCAATGTTGGGGACAAGGAGTCGTACATTTGACAGTTTACAATACAAAGAATGGGAAGTAGGTGGGTATAGCGTAAGTATCCGAATCTTAAGCCACTGAATCGACAAATCGTACGTAGTTGGTCGATGGCTCAGCCATGTCTGCCCAATGCGCGTGCAGCTTTCCCGACAAGCGAAGCTTCTGTGCGTTTGGCTTTGGCACGCATAGACCTGTTGTTCGTATCGTTAACATCAGGCTAGACCAGACATAAGAGCAACATACTCGTCTTTCGCCTCTTCCTCCAGCTCCTTGATCTGCTCCATCGCGTCTCTCACCCGCGCACGTGCATGGAGCACGGCGCGGTCCGCAGCGGCCTCAGCCTCGTGTGCCCGTGCGACTTTTTCGCGGGCGAGAATGACTTGGGGATCGCGGTCAGCAGTGCGGGTGAAGTTCTTGAGTGTCATTGAGCCAAACAAAGAGGCGGTGGTCGACTGGGAGCGGACGGAGGTGGTGTCGTGGGGCTTGACACTGCGGAGAGAAGGCTCGGGTTCGGTTGGCGGTGAAGCCGTCATCTTGTGTGGCCGGAAAAAGAAGGAACTGCGGGTGGACATCCTGTCGTCGTCAGACGAGGAGGAAGAGCCAGAGCGCGCGGAATGGTAGGCGGTATTTCCGGTGGTTGGCGTTGGCAGTGGCTCGGGAGACGCAACGCGACGGAGAGAGCCAAAGTCGAAAAACCCAGCGGTGGGTCGACGGGTTGCTGGGTCGGGAGAAGGGGGACGGACGGGTGGTGGGTCGGGGTGGGATTTGAAAAGCGGCATGGGTGGTATTGAGGTGGTATTGGGTTGAGTGGAAAGCTTGACGTTGCCTGCAGCGTTTTGAGGTGGGGTTGTGGGATGAGGTCATGGTGGAGTCTTCGGACCGAACGAAAGCGATCATGATCTGCCTAACCCTGAATGAAGGAAAACATGCACGTTTTGTTGACATTGGCGAATGCGAAGAAAAGACGGATGGCTGGTAGGTGGCTGTTGGTGAAAAGATCAAGTGAGACTGGTGTGACATAGTCTCAATGCCAAAATGATTTTGACCTCTTTCACGAAAGTTGGCGAACTTACGATGTCCCCAGAGCCAGCAACCTGAACCTGAACAACAAGAGCTTACGAGCCCGAGAATTCTTAAAGTTTGGTGGTGGTCTATATTCAGAAGTAGCGCTTGTCGCCGAATGTTTCTTTGGGCATACTTATATGCACTTGGATGCTGAGAAAAGAACCAGTCTCTATTTTCCATAATCCTACTTGGCTACATTCCCGAACTTGAACCACCCATATTCTATCAGAGCTGAGGCTCAAACATCGACACCCTGTCGGTATTCCATCTCTGCGCAAAAGCGACGACCTTCAACCCACTGCTCTCCAACTCTGCCAACACCACGGGCAGCAACAAGCTGGTCGCATCTACTATCAGCTTCTCCAGCTTTTTGCGTCCCCCGAGGCAATGATTGCGGTTCTCGTTGATGGCTTGAATGGTGGTCTTGTCGAGATATCTGCACCCCGTGAAGCCTAGAACGCGAAGATTGGGAGCGACGTTGCCGCTTTGAAAAATCTTCAGAACCGGCTTGGGGTTGACCAAGCCCGTGAGGCCGAGTCGAAGGTACGTTAGATTTCTCCGAGCGGTGGGTGTTCGGAGAAGCCCTTGTAGCTCTGTGACCAGAGAGTCGCTGGGAATCTGTATCCTCGTGATCAGCGTGAGATGCGTCAGGCTCGGAAAGCGGCTCATATAATGTGCAATGACTGTGAGGACCATGGGGGGACTATATGGGTCGAAGGGTGTGTATGCCGCATGGACAATATCGATAGCCAGCCTGCGCAACGGCTCTCTCTCTAGTGTTCCCAGAACAGCGGAGACAAAAAGCGGGTGGCATGCTTCAAAAACGATCTGACGACTGCGGAAGTTGAAGCGTCCTGGCCGCCAAGGCAGTACATCCTGACATACGACAAATGTGATGCCCTCTAACAGAGAAGGTGGCAAGGATGCATTTGAAGACAGCATCAACAGATCTTCCCAGTGACTAGACTTGATTTCACAAGTGCGAAGGCGCGGTAACACACTCCAAGGTAGCGCCTCATTTTGTCCCGGTTGCAATATGGTACCGAAATGGGTGACTTGGGGAAATAGCGACAAGAAATTCGCAATGAGCGGCACCGTGACATCTGGGCCATTACCAGGTAGAAGCGATAGCCACTGGACATGAGTAAAAGGTCGACCTGCTGCGAGGGAGTTGATTCGTTCCAACAAACCCCCTGAGATGTTGAGATTGAGCTCGACGGCGCGATCGATGGCGTATGGGATCACTTCGCAGAGAAAGGGATCGATGTCATTCATAGTGAGTTTTGCACTGAGTAAGGTGAGGGAAAGAACGAATCCAGCGACTCCAGTTGCGCGGACCTGACCCAGGGTCCTCCGCATTCCAGCCCGGCCGTCCATGATAGACGTATCAAGGGTGATTTGCAGGGGGTGTATGTATCTCGTTATGCCTTGCAGAACATTCCGCCAGCCAGCACATGTGCTAACTAGCGCCCAGAGTTCGTCCGGGCCCGTTTCGGTGGACCGTGGATTGAGATAGGACGCGATATTCAGGAGCATTTCCTTGGGTATACGACGGACGGCAGAAATAACCCGCTTGTGGGAATCGATGAAATCCTGCAACCTGTCACGTTGGAGAGCGAACTTGGCTTTTGGGTCGGCAGTCTCGAGGAGCTCAAGAATAGCGTGCGCCTGGCGGATCGCTGAGCGAGCGGATTCCTCTTGCTCAGTAGTCGGCACTTCGTTGCTGCGCAAAAGCTCAGGGACCGGACTCTCTGGAAGCGCACTGTGACAATTGGAGCTTGACACTGGTGTCAGCGCAGAGATATGCCTACGAAGATGGTCAGGTTTCGAAAAAAAGAGATAGTCGTAGTACCCATTCATTCTGTAGCGTCGGCTGGTGGAGAGAAAAAACACACGGGGCGTTGGAGATTGTTTAGTTCGAGCACGACTCTCGGACAGGCTCTGAGAGCACTGGCGCCAAGTAAATATCTGTTGTGTGCGTCAACATCACCGTTGAAGTTCAAAAGTATCACCCACGTTCAATTTTTGTTGAGCAGGTGAGTGAGTGGTGTTGGTGAGTGTTTGTTTGTTAACGGCAACTGTGAGTCACAGAGCCGTCAGTCACAATCACCACTTGCAAGTTTCAACCATCCAACACCCTCCACCAAAAATAGACACCAGCGACTAGTAGTATCTTGCCAGCCCGGGATTCCCTCGATGCTAGAACCATCTACGGTCCTCAATTGCTTCAACTTCGTTCCTTCATGGTCATTGGTCACTTCGACTCACTTGACTCCCTGCTGGAGAGTGTTATCCATCAGGGTCGCTCGTCGATACTGCAGGGTCAGCTTCAAGTTGCGAACACATTCGACCGGGATACAAATCAATTGCAACCCACGACTCGGATAACACATGTCTTTCGAGCGGCTCCGCATTCCTTCTCGAGGACAAAGCAAAACGTTCAATTTTTCACGAGCCTATAATAAGGGCTCTCTGGTTCTGTGGTGCGTCGAACAGGAACTCGCCGCTTCTCGCCGTGCCGAATGTTTCTCTCTCGGCATACTTATTGCGTTCAATGATGATGAGAAAAGAAGAAGCTTCTATTCTTTCGAAGTCAATGGTCGACAACTAGCTACGCCGTGGCCACTAGCTAGGCCGGTCTAGCTTGTCCAGGCAAAACTTCGGTGAGAGAGTCAATGTCTTTCGAAGCGATTCAGCGTATATTTAACCAACTCTGTGTTAGTTTTGTCCCCGACCTGGATTCGTCCAAGTCCGACCCTCCAAGCGTCTTCAGGTTGCCTACGGTTCTCAAGCCCGTCTTCGCATCCCCTATAAAGCTTCTTCATCTTCCAATTCGATTCGACGGTAGCCTCATTGCCCAGACGCCACGGCATCAAAGATCGTAGAGATGGTGATGAAGCACTATACCTGACTGACGATAACTAGGCCGCATTAAATCCCCTCCCGTTTAAATCGTCCGTGGAAGCCATGCATGGGTCTGTCGACATTGTCCACGTTATCAGGCCGACCACCAGAGTACCACCTCCGCCAGTCAATTTGATATCTTTGCGCGACAGGAATTCAATCGAGGGTGGCCCGTGCGCGTGAACTGGATATTCGTCGATACACCAAGCGGAAAGCCAAAATCGCTGTGCTCGTGTGAGGAGACTGCTCCCCAGCCTTATCGCCGCTGATTTAGGTGGCTATTGGTGTCCACAACACAGACTTAATTGGCCAAATTCGAAGCTGCGAAACGGGGAGGTCCGATCAGCTGCCAGACAAGAAGGGAAGAATTAAATCCGCGACGGCAAAGACACTGCCTTTGAGATCGCCGAGTTGGTCAGGTGAACAGAGACGTACCCTTTGTCATTTTCAAGCGAAACAGGAATAGATTTAGCTGCAGGGTCGAGGTTGAGTTAGAGCGCCGTGATAAGACATCAGCTTCAGCTCAAGAGTGGATTCACGACCGCTGCAAGCTTCCGCGTAACTTGAAGTAAGTAGTATCCAGAAATGACCGTCCGACTCAATGGCGTGTTATCGTGGCACGTGTTTTCCACTCTGGGGTAGCAATGCGGGGTAAGTGAATAATGATGCCCGCAGATCTAAGATCCAGGGGAATGATAAGTAACCACAAATTCCATCCCATCTCCTCTCGTTGGCTTTAGCGACGACAAGTCTCTTCGTGGGGGCTCTAGTGGAGCCTGGCTGAGGGGCCCACGGAGGTATCTATGCCAGCAAGATTATTGTGGAGTCGAGAATCGAAGCAGAATTTGATGCTGACAAATGCTGATGACGCAAGCGATATAAACGGCTCTTGGCGCCCCACTCTCCCGCCACAACTCTTTCTTTCCTTCGCCACCACCACCATGTCCAGCTCCCGTCCAGACAGACTCCCTCCTGCCACCCAGCCAATTCCTATCGCTGGCAAACCCCGTCCGCGGTCGATGTCAGTGTCGTCTAGCGACTCACGCTCTACTGGCTCTCCTAGCTCGCCCACAACTCCCCCTTCTGTCTCTCCGTCGACCAGAATCAACATCCCTTCGCCAGCATCGTCGCCCATCTTGTCGTATTTCCTCGCCCAATCGCCCACCAAGACACCTGGTTCGTTCCCTTTCCGCAAGTTTGGCGCCGCACCACCAATGGTCTTTGAAGGTGTGTTGTTGTCTATCGTATTCGTTGATAAGCTCACTCACGGCCAATGCAGAAGACGAAAGCGATATCAAAGAAGTCTCCGCTACCCACCATGCGCGTCGTGCGAGCACCGCAGTTGCCGAGCGTCTGGCCCAGCCAGGCAACCCCTCTCTTCCTGATGCCCACCATGAGCGTGGCCAAGGCGTCATGCGTCGTCTTTCCCTCAGCGGTGCTTTCATGAGCGTCAGTCCATCTGCTTGTTGGTCGAATATAGTGACACTCATCCGCTCTTCCGAATATAGCCCGACCCCACGAAACGCTCTCGCTCCCCACCCACTGTCCCACCCAACTCTGCCGTCAGCCCTACTCAAAGTCTGCCCTTCGGTCGTGACAACACCCTGCCTCGCCGCTCCGCCACGTTGAGCGCAGGAGAAGGCAGACCCCGTCGTGCCCCTTCCCCTATGGGCGAACGCATTCTCAAGGGTCATTTTGACGGGTTCAATTGATTCTTTACCTCCTTCTTGATCCATGCATTCGTTCGCTTCCTCCTTGTAATCGTCCAGTCGCGGCAACATACCCAGCAACCGTCGACCCTCTGGACTTGTAACCACCACCAAAAAGAAAATCATCAAGCATAGTGTGTCTGTATCTACTGGTATCCGTATCATCTGGTGGGCTGCCAAGTCGCCACCGCTAAAGGTATGCATGTTGACTTGTGTGTTGGCACCATACTAACGGTTTGTAGACCAAAAAAATGTGTAAAATGTAGAGTTAGCTTTAGACGATGTCGCTTCTGTTTAGTACAATGGATAATGAATACAAGAATTCTTGTACAATGCTGGGCATTGAGCAAATTCTCCAGATTGCTTTGCTGGTGGGAACTTCACCCCCAGACCTTGCTGCCCCTGCTACAGGAGAGCTTAGATATTGATTACTTGGCAAATACTATTATACTGCTAATAAATTAGGTGTCAATTCTGCGAGACGGCAACTTTTCACAACGGAGAAAGCTCTAAGTGTCCGTAGCTTGGTGCCTGTATAAGTTGTACATACCCTGCTGTTCCCGGTTGGGACCATGCAGTGAATAATAAGTGACAATAATAAGTCAAATAATTTCAGGCAAAATCTTATCAGCCACTGCCCCCAGCCGCGTGACTGGAGATCTGAGACCTAAATTTCTCTTTTGTGGCAGGCGTCATTGGCTCTCATTGGCTCTCACCTTTACTTTGATTACGTCGAAAGTACATCGGAGTAAGTAGAAGTATCAAGAGTATGATCCGGCAACACACCAGAAATGGTCTAAGTTGTGGAGTCTGCATGCTTTCCTCTTCCTCGTTGGTGGACTTTATGGCGCGATGATCCTTGGGTGGAGTTACTTATCGGGAATGGACTATCTCTAGCTCAGCTTGTCTGCCTTTTGGGCGGTCGAGAGATGCACCAGAAAACCGATTATATGTGGTAGCAACTGTCGAGGTCATGCTGCTTGTGATGTTCCAGGCGATGCCTAGAGGGTAGTCGACGTAGGAGTAGCCTCGAGAGGAGAGTCGCGAGCAGAGCGGGAATTGAAGAAGAACTAAGCTTCAAGCTTTCTGGGTCCGGTCACCCTCTCATGCATCGAACAGCTGTGGAGCAGGCTATCTCCAATGTCCCACTTGACTTGTAAAGGAGGAGGATGACCCGCAAGAGGCGTCATTTTCGCTGGCAGTAGCGAGTTTGATAAACAGGGATTCGTGGGTGGAGCGCAATGGTCGAAAAAGGATATAGTTTGAGAAGGCACGAGTGGTTTCTTCTACGCTGGCCTCCCGACTATCGGCGTGGGCCGTTTTGAAAACACGATTTTGCGCTTGATCAGTGCAATCGCATCCCAGCCGGTTGTCGTCTGTGTTTCGGACGGCGCAGGCTGCTCTTCACCGCCGTCCACGTCCATATTGTCCTCTTTATGGCCGTCTAAAACGCGCTGCAGAACAGCGAGCGGCTTCGCGAGCTGCACGACCTTGCCCTCCAGAAGGTGGTGGCCAATCCGCAGAGTTGCCGTTTTCTGTCAAGAAAACGCGTGAGTTTCTCATCGGGTGGCAAAGAAGAAGACCGAACCCCCGCATCGTCGATGCCAAGACGACCGACAAGCTTCCCGTCGCGCTCAGACGGTTTGGCGGAATGGATTTCGAGCGCGCCTTGCAGTTCGACCAGCACAACTTCGGCGTGGGAGATGCGCGCTAGGGTCGGTGGCAGAGGATAGCTTGTGGCAGCGGCGGATGTTGAAGGAGAGTTGAAGGAGATGGGGACAATCATGGTCGAGGAGAAGACGCGTTGTTTGGTGATGCTTGGCCAGCTGACACGTGACGTATTGAATCTCTTCTTGACTATGTACAACGTTAACAGATACAGACAGCTACACGACGACGCGAACAAACGAAGCCAGCACTAGTAGAATGGTGATTCCTTCTCCATGAAGTACCCCACCTCCAACCCGCCAGCTCTCAAAACATCCCGGGTGGTGTCTGATATCATGGGCGGTATGCTGGGGACATCCGACATCAACCACAGCTCATGCAAGACTCCCTTCCGCTTGGTGTGCAGATCCAACAAACAAACTTCGTCCAAGTTCTGGCAACCGCGAAACGCCAGCGTATGCAATCGGGGAGCTGCGTTGGCCCATTTTGTCAGGGACTGCATCAGGGCCGTGGACATCAAGCCATTGCATTTCAGTTCCAGGTCGATCAGTGACTTGGTATTTGGGGAGTCGAAAAGAACGAAGAGGTCGGTCATTGCAAGGACCGTATATGGCAAGTCCAGCGCAAGATGCGTGAGACCATTATCGGAGCGGCTCAGCAGAGGTAATAGTAAATCTACGAGGAGCCCGGTGTTTGCGAAGCCAGATACGGCAAGTCGATTCAGAAATGGCGTCGTCAGAGATCGCATAATGGTCGCTACGAAGTCTTCGCCACATTCTTCGAATGATAGGGAAGAAACAAGGCAGTCGAGGGGAGTTTCCAGCAATGGGATGGCACTGCCGTGAATTTGACATGATAAGAGAGACACGGATGCGTGGGCTGCTAGCGCAGGCAGCGCTTGGAGAACATCATCTAAAAGACAAGCACGCAAAACGCATTTACGCAAACGACCCCATATAGATTTCAGCGCTGTTGGGCCACGGTTCCAGTTCATGTGTAGTGCGAGCTCTTGAAGGGAGTGGAGGGAGCGAATAAATGGGACGATTTCATTCGAATGCAATCCATAAGGCCGGATAAAAGCAATCGAAAGGCATTTAAGTTGAGGTAATTCAATTGCTCGGCCAACAAACAAGTTGTCGTATAGCTCGGCTTTGATAGTGAGGGTGGCGGACCCCCATCGTTTGGATTGGGAGAGCAGCGAACTAAGCAGCCTGCCAGAGCCTGAAGTTGATGAATACGAGTTGATCTCGATATTCAGAGGGACGGAACTAGAGCGCTGCAAAAGGTGCCATGTCCTTGTCTCGCAAAAGCAGTACCCAGGGTAGCAGTTGTTGGAAGCACAATCAACACGGAGGGTCCGCCACAATCGAGGGTAGGTTGAAGCAATGTCGCGCCATCTGCGGCAAACGGAAGTGAATGGGGTAAAGTTGGTTTGCTGATATTTCCCAGTCGACACCACATAATGAAAGAAGATTTCGCAGAGGACTTCGCTCGGAAGTCTCCGGACCGGCGCAATAACGGGTTTGTGCATGTCAATGAAGTTGTAGAGGACTATCTGGCGGGTTTCGAGGCGCTGGATGGTGGACTGGAGTTGTGCACGCTCAACGTCCAGACAGAATATCTCTTGAAAAGCGTCCCCGATGCAGCGCTGGACGTCTTTGGTCAGCGCCTCTGTCGGCGCTTCGTTGCTGTGGAGGAGATGTGGTGGGCATACGTTGAGAATGGCCTGGTGATGGGGTGGACAGTGGTTCGCGCATGGAGAACTACAGTAGGACCTGTAAACAGTACTTCAGGCAAGTCGCGAGGATGGAAGATAGCGTACAGACTCATGGTGGCTAGTAGCAAAGAGCCTCACAGCTCAATCACTGGATAGGCGCTTAAGACCAGCCTGAGAACCCTAGATGGCCCCACGCCTCCCGCACGCATTACACTGCTCGGTCAGTGGTGGTCATGGACACTAGGCAAATACTAGAAAAGTCCGGGAAGTCCGAGTGTTATTTTGGTGCTGAATCCGAGTCTGAGGCAAGAGGCGTCACGCAGTCACGGTAAATGTTCCGCGAATCAACACTGATTACGTCATATTCTCAGCTTTTCATCTTCCATATCATGCGGCAACGGGAAAATGCCTTCAATGGTCTGACGCCACCGGCCCCGAATCGCTGCCTCTGCCAATGAAGTTGCGCCATTTGGGACTACAGCTTCTACAAATGATCACACCTGCACAATTTCAAGTTGAATCAACGTCTTCCTGACAGGCTACAGCGTACTTACATGGGGTAATGCGACCTGCATCGCTATGACGTAAACCCAGGAGTCAGTTTCATGGGGCATCGCTGTTTGCAGGTGACCCAATGCAACTCAAAATCGTTGCCAGCTCGGGTGAAAAAATACGCAGCCTGGGTACCCAGCGAAACCGTCGACTTGGATGCGCTGTTGTATGCGGGACCCACGCTCCCGAAATTCTCAGGCCAACCGTGTTGGCAGCCTTCTGATACAAGCCCCGTCTTAACAGCTCGGAAGTGTGACGCTCGCGCTGCTTGGTCTGTCTCTTCGCGCAATGGTCGCTTCAACGGCGCTCGAGCCCATGAGCATCATCATCGACGATGCGGACTTTCCAACCCAATCGAAAGGCTTTCCTGGCGGACTTCGTACGCCCATCGACAGTCCATCGTATCCGTCTCGCTTCAACGACACCTTGACGGTCTTTGATCTCTCGGGCCTTACCCTGGCTGGGCCGTGGACTCTTCAGGCAGATGGTACGCATGTACCCAAAAACACTGGAATAGCTTGACTAACTAGTCTTGCACAGGGATTTCTATGGCGCTCTATGGAATGACGCCGCCAAATTTGCCTTACTTCAACGGCAAAAACTTCAATCAGACAATCTTGGTCGGCGATTCGACTCGCTCTGGCTCAAATACAAGCGATGCTAAAACCTTTACATCATACCCATACCCCGCTCCTGCTTCCCTCGGACTGATAGTTTCTACCGGAAATGCAACGGTAGCAGGTCCGATATCGCTGGGGCTGATGAATTTTCTGGGCCTGACAGTCGACTACATGGTTGTTCAAGTCGGAGAGTTCACCAACATCGAGGGGAAGACCGCGTTCGTCGACGATACAAGTGGGGAGATTCGATGGAGTGGATCATGGGCTATCAAGCGCGACTACCAGCTTCGAGGCGACTGTTTCCTCCCCCCATTCCCGTTCACTGACCCCTCAAAACCCAGTTCACCGAATTTCCCGGTGACCTTCTACCCTCACGGTAACTCGACACATACGAGCGCGACAGTCGGAGACTCCTTCCAGTTCCTCTTCTCTGGTTCGTCGCGGCACTCTTGATTATGTTGTCGCTCACGTACTCCATGACAGGCACTTCAATCGCCGTCTATGGCATCTCGCCTGGAAGCATCGCCACAGACGACTGGGAGCTCAACATGACGTTCAACATCGACGGTACCACTCACACCACATCGTACACTGCGTCTATGCAAAATGGTTTCGTCGCCCCGCAGTTCTTGTACTTCAGCACGACAGTCTCACCAGGGAACCACACATTAACTGCAACGGTTGTGAATGTTGCCGGGAGCGCGGCACCTTCTGCACAGATTGACTATATCACTTATACGCCGGATTTCGGGACGCCTCATGAGAGACCCATATTGGCCTTCCCACCGAGTCCGTCGTCAAGCTCATCGCTATCACCAACCAGTGCAAGTTCACCGTCATCTTCTGCCACCCCCACACACAGAAAAAAGGCCTCTGCAGGCGTGATTGGGGGCAGCGTTGTCGGCGCAGTCGTCGGACTGGTCCTGGTCGCAATTGTCGTTTGGCTATTGTGGTCCAAGATGAAAAGGAAACGCGTGGCGCAGCAGCGGGAGGTCGAACCAGAGCCGTTTGTGACACCCAATATTCCAGCAAGGCGAGAGAAAGTACCTCCTTCGGAGGCAACTTCGACTTCTGGCGCGGGCCGTAGCTCCGGGTCTGTGGCGGACTCATCGTCCGCTGCAGGAATGCAGGAGGGGGCGGCCTCCATTGACGAGCGGATGAGGCAGATGCAGATCGAGATAGAAGGTTTCCGGCATCAAGTGCGCGCTAATCGTCGGGGTTCACTTGTCTCGACGGCGCCACCAGCTTATACAGATGGTGAACGGGTGGAAGAGCGATAACCTTGTGATTGTTTTGAATACTGTAGAGTTTTAAATAAAGTCAAGCTCAAACTTGTGGTTGCTGGCCGGTACTACTGGTTAGTACTGTGACTATTACTGGTTTTTTTCTGGGGTGTTTGGAGTAATGAACTTCAGTCTGCAGAAGCATTGCAAAGTATATCTGCTGGGTACACTGGGAATTGCAACTTGTAAAATGCTGTGAAGTAACTCTCAGGGGGAAATGCCTTCATACACAGTTTAAAACCAGTGTAGGATGCCTACTATTGTGTGGTTCATCCAACACTTTTCTTCCAGGGTAGAATACCCACTAAAACCCCTTCTCATTTATCCAGTTATCCTGCAAGGATTCTTCATCCAGCATTTTGCATAGTGCTGGCCATTATTATATTACAATTTACTAGTATAATCATACCATATTATTATTATGATTATATTATATGTAGTAGCCAGAACCAATATTATGCTATATTACAATATTATTATATTATTATTATAGCTCTAGCATAATATATCACTCCAATAATTTAAATGTCAGCTCTAAACTTTGGTGTCACCAAACACTTGTACTACTTCTATTCTTGTCCTAGTTGTATTTATATACCATAAATAGTCTTATTGCATATATTCATAAAACTAGTTGCTACCTGTTCATGATAATAGTGTCAGTTGAGAAAGACTTATATAATCTAACTATCAATGACTAGGGTGAGAGAATGCTTGGCTTGAACAAACAATACTATCATTATATACTGTTAATATTGTAATGTGGTCATAGTTTCCAAATAAGGCAATTCACTACAGATATGTGACTGAAAGGTCTTCTCAAAGTTCAAACACAATCTAACAGAGGGATTGAGAGTTATAAAGCATTGCATAATATTGCTACCAAATCATATACTGAAAACCAAGATTGAAAATGTTAAAGGTTTGTTGCAGAAGGTAATAAAATTATAATATAATATTTTACATAGTTATCATTATATTATATTATAGATTTATTATGCTCCTCAAGACCACATTATTGTATTATGCATTTGGCATAATTGTCAGGGGAACCCCTGCTTCGGCCTCCTTCGGACCCTCCAAACGCATCCGAGGTGCATCCGACCGGCGCCCCCTCGGACGCTCCGACCCACCCCGACCATCGTCCACGGCCTCCTTCGCCCGCACAATCCCCGATCCATCAAGACCCTCCTAATGATCACCTTGGGACAGAGCCTGCGACACCGCTCAGGCCTTCTGCGCTCTACGTCGGGCAGTTACGGACAACCAGTATATAGTTGGCGCCCTAGCAGGCGGACCCTTAGAGTTTCTTCTCTTTGGATCCTCCCCTGCTAGGTCGGTCCCTCCGTGTATTCCCGTAGCTTTTATTCATGCTTAGGGAATGGCATGAGTAAACCCCTGGGTATCGCAGGCCCTACTCATACCCGTACCCGCACAGCCACCATACCCGTACCCATGGGTATGGGTATGCATGGGTTGGGTAAACCCATGAGTAAACTGTTATATTTTGTATATAAAATAATAGTAGTAGTACTTTAATTGATTAATACTAATATGACCTTCCTATAAATTCACTTGAAAGGCCATAGAAACCCATGGCTTTGAATAAATTCAAAGTTTAAAACAAATTACATACACTGACTGCTTACTCATATTGCATGACTACATACCCATGGGTCCATGGGTAACTGACCCAAGGGTCCATGGGTAGGTCTGACCCATGGGTTGGGCCAACCCATGCCATTAGATTCGTTGCGCAGCCAGCGGTTGATGCGGTTCAACCGCTGATCTGTGTTGCGCAAGCGAACCGCTCCGGATGGACCGGATCAATCAACCGCTACACGAGGATACAACTCTCGGCTAATTCTGGCACTGTCTTTCATCCACCATCGATAATGGAGGCTCACGTCCTTCAAGCTGACTTGGAATTCCAGGGAATGCTGAGCATGGTGGCTCAGAGGGAGGAAGACCGATGGGACTCACGGCTCAGTAACCTTCGTGATGGCGGGCCAATTGACGTGAATTCTCATGGTGACAATTGGTGGTTGGAGCATTTCCGGTACGCCCAATCAGCTCTTTCACTGAGATTGATGACTGCATCAGGTTTACTCGGCATGAGACGGAATCTCTAGTGCTGGCACTCGATCTTCCAGAATATATCATATGTCCTGAATCACGCAATCGCGAGGACAGCAAAACAGCTTTGTGCATGCTTCTTGCCCGACTCACCCACCGCTCACGACTGAACGACATCGAGATGCAGTTCGGCTGGGAAAGATCAAGATTTTCACGGTTCACACGTCTCATGGCCAGCACCATCTACTCGCGATGGAAGCATGTTCTTCGATTCGACCCCAATCGACTTACACGTGAAAAGCTAGCCTACTTCGGGACTGTTATCCACAACAAAGGTGCACCCACAGACCAAGTTGTTGGGTTTATCGATGGCACTATCCGCAGGATTGCCCGGCCAGTTCGGAATCAGCGGCTGGTGTATAACGGATGGAAGCGCACTCACTGTCTCAAATACCATGCCATCGTTACACCGGACGGTCTAATTTCCCACATCTTTGGCCCCGTGGAAGGCCGACGCCATGACGAGACACTGTATCAGCAGAGCGGCATTGCTCCAATACTGGAGAAGCATCTGTGGTCTCCTGATGGTCGGCGATTGTGTATCTATGGTGATCCTGCCTACGGAGTGTCAGGTCATGTTCTCTCCCCATACAAAGGCACCAATCTCACATCAGCAGAATCCCGATTCAACGCGAAGATGAGCCGCTGCCGCGAATCTGTTGAATGGGGATTCAAAGAAATCACAAAACAATTTCCATATCTAGATGTTGTCCAAAATCAACGACTACTACTATCACCGTGCGGCCTATACTATCTTGTCGCCGTCCTTCTTATCAACGCCCACACGATATTCCACCGCCCCCAAATATCGAACTACTTTGGATGTGCACCCCCAAGTCTTGAAGAGTATTTTCATGGAGAAGCAGTACTTGACGAAGAACTGGATGAGTGGTGTATGCAAAGCGCGTTCGAAGAGGACTCACAGGAAGAAGATGACGAAGAGATTGAATCTATAGATGATATATAAGATACTTGTGCGGCGACGTAGTACTTACCAAGGTTTTTGAAGCATGGACAAGAGTTGGATGTGTCGTTCTGCATCTTGGAGGCGATGGCATGTCTCATCTTCCTTCTGTTGCTTCTGTAGGTCGACGAAGTTCGCCCAGGAAGTTTGCAACACGGTCGAGGTTGGTAGTGAGCTGATCATGCCGCTCCCTGTCAAGGTTGCGAGCATCTTCGAGTCGGCGGGCGCTTGTACTTGCATATGATTCGATCGCCTTCGCAAGCGTTCCTTGATGACGGCTGCGTTTGGGTTTCAATTTGCTAGCCTCCGCATCGTTCTCCTTGTCCGATTCCGACAAGGCACGCCTAGAGCGAAGCTCAGTGTTATGCAGCGGAGCATTTGATATGACACGCACTTTCGTTTCCGTTGCCCCTGCTTCTCTCGCAATGAGGCGCCCTCCAACTCTGCAATATCGCTCAACTCTTCCCGACGAACAAGCCCCCGCATAGCACTGTCCCGAATTTCGAGGGCCGCCCGCTTTTCAGCGTCCACCTTTTTGCGCGCTGCATCGGATTTGGCAGTTTTCTCGAGCTTCCCGGCATGAACAAGCTCGAGTATCGCTGTCAATCGCTAAACGTAGCGTCCAGAAACGCATGGACCAGTGGCCCGGGGCAATGACATACCTCCACATGTGCATCGACCTCCTCATTCGTCCCCGTCTTCTGTTTGGACCGTGTTTCATCCTTCTGGTGTCATTTGAATAGTTGTCCAATATGAACGACGATTCAACACACCTGGTGAAGCTCCAAGAGCCTCGCAAATCGCGCTTTACATGCGGCCCCCGTCCTGACAATCTCCGTCCCTTGAATCTTGCTGTCCGTTGAGAGCTGGGCAGCTAGATCCTCCCAGGCCGCCCTCGACGCTGCACCTCGCCCAGCCTCGAATGGGCGCAGATTCTCCACCTCCTGAATGAGCAGGCGGTCCTGCCACGCCAGCCACTGCGATCCTCGAGCATTTTGAGAGTGCTGGGAGAGCACTACGACCTCGTCGTGGTCAGACTCGGGGTCGGAGCCATTTGGTGATGGTGCCTGTGTAGGTTCATCTTCGCTCGAAGGGGTCGGGCTGTGAGACGGCATATATGGGCTCTGGGAACGCGGTCGGGGGTGACTCCGCAACCTGCGCGTCTGAGATTGGGGTGGGTGTCCGTGGGGGTGGCTTTCGATGCCTCTGGGCTGGCTTCCTCTGCGCTTTCTTGGCTCGTGAAGCGGCTTTCCGTGGGCTGCCCGCTGCTTGGGTGGTCTTTCGATGTTTTGACCGCAGCTCCATGTCGTGGTTGGTGGTCAAGATGTGCTGATGGCGTCATTGTGGAGCGGTTGATTGATCCGGAGCGGTTCGCTTGCGCAACACAGATCAGCGGTTGAACCGCATCAACCGCTGGCTGCGCAACGAATCTATTGCCTATGAATCATGCTTTAGATCCTCCCCTGCTAGGCTTTTGTCGGAGTCTCCAGGGTTGCCCTTACAGCAGAAGAAACTCTCTACGGGATTAACCGGTCAAGATTGCCAGGTTTGGCGCTGATTCAGGCTCGGAGTACGAGTCCGTACCCCCCTCGTCACCACCCCTGCCACTTGACCCCTCCTCCTCTGCTCTTGTCGTCTTTGCGCCCGCTATGTCTACCGGAGCTGCTCCGGACGCTGACGCACGCATGGACACACTTGAGGCGAAACTAGACAACCTCACCAATATCCTCACCCACCTTGCTTCCCAGGCTTCTGCTGCCGCACCACCTTCGGCAGCTCCCGAACCGCCTTCGGCATCTCTGAATGCCCCCGACGCGGATGCGTTATTTGGTGACATTACTGTCGCCTCAAAACTGGTCTTACGGCCAAACCCCCCGTTTGCGTTTAACGGAGATCACAAACGCGGCCGCGCCTTCCTATACGCGGTCAAGACTTACGCCCGGCTTGCCCCGGAGGCCTTCGTGGTCAACGGAGAGCTAAGCGAAGAAAAGGCCGTCCGCTACGCCATGTCCTATATGGCGGAGGGACCTGCCCAGCAGTGGGCAGAGCGTCATGGAAGCAAAACCCCTTTACCCTTCCCTCAGTGGAACCTATTCCTCTCCGAGTTTCGCCTTCAGTTTGTTGAGGAGAACGAGCAAGACCTCGCGCTCGCCAAGTTGGAAAGCGCGGGTTATCATATGGGAACGCGGGACGTCTACGGATACACCGACGACTTCGAGGACCTAATGGACCTTGCCGGATTCGAAGACGCGTTGGTTAAGGTGACCAAGTACCGCCATGGACTTGACCTCCTGATCAACAACGGCATCACGTCCTCGAACGACCCCCAGACCTCCATGACTATCTGGGCTGGCGCACTTGGGCTTTCCGCCAATACAAAGCCTTGGTGCGAGCGAAGCTCATCAAAGGGACCACCCCGCGGACGCCTTCGGGGGCTCCGCGTGGCGCATTCCCTATCGCCCATTCGGCAACTCCGTTCCCCATCTGTCCGGTGGCCGCACCTGCGCCACCCCGCGGCCCGCGCCCCCGTCTCGGTACCTCCGGCTCCCGTCCCTATGGAGTTGGATTGCACTTGGCTCAGGATTGTCCGCTCCCCGCCGATGTTTGCCATGTGGACATCCTTGACGAGGTAATCCAGCAACTTGGCAACAAGATGCTGGGAGAGCTGCTTGCGTGGTTGTCCGATATCGCGGCTTTAGCGGAGGTGCATTCGGAGGCTCCGGCAGAGGATTTTGTCCCCTGCGACGAGTGACTGGTGTGCCCTTGTTCGCGTGCATAAATCGTTTCACTTGTTTGTATGATGAATCAACTCCCTTGCCCTACAACGAGCCTGAAACGAAAGATGCACCCTCTGCCCCCTCCGAAGCCCCCATTCGGATTTGCCGACTTGCCTGGGAGAAAAAGCTACCTGGCAGCTATACCATCTCTGCCACTCCTGAGGTTAACTCACTCCACCTTCCTCTCAAACTTGAGTCCACTCCGAACGCGCTCAAGCTCTCCCTCTCAGGTCTGGTCGACTGCGGAGCCACTTCGGACTTTATCGACACAGAATACGTCAACCGAAATAACGTGCCAGTCCGAAATCTCTCAGTACCCATACCGGTCTACAATGTCGACGGCACCCCCAATGATGCTGGGTCTATTCGCCAAATTGCGGACCTCGTTCTACGGTACAACGGACACTCCGAACACCTGTAGTTGTGCACATTTGACAACTGCACTGAGTGCACTGAGTGCACTGAGTGCACTGAGTGCACTGAGTCAACCTGGTGTCAAATCCACTAGCTCCACTGAGGCCTGAGTCCAGTTAGTGCATTTGTCTTCTGTTCCCCTATAAGACTGATCAAACTTTGATATAACATCAGTATGAATAATTATTACACTTAATAAATAAATGTTAAGTTCCTTTTCTTCAGGCCGAAGACCCGTTATATAATTTGGAAGACTATATATATAGAAAATAATTCATAATCGCCCTGCTCAGTGTATTTGACAACTGTTATGCTAGCTGCAGCTAGTTGCATTTGTAAAAATATAACGCCTATGGCTCGGGCTGAGCAGTGAGAGCTTGTGTAGCCAGTATACCATTATTGACCTGTAGATTTGTGCGTATTAGAATATATATCATCAATATACACTTAATTTCTGGCGCTGACTGGGCAGCCGCTCACAAACATTGCCAGCACCCAATCACAGGCTATAGTAACCTACAGGTTCTTATAACCTACAGGCTATAGTAACCTGCAGGCTATAAGTTACTGTAGGTTGATGTGACCTGCAGGTTACTACAGCCTGTAGATTATTTGAACCTGCAGGCTTTATGAACCTACAGGCTGCAGTAACCTGCAGGTCCATAAGTTATCTTGCAGGGTTCAGTTTAATTGCATTTTTCAGGTTTTATAATTTTGATAGATACTACAGGTCCATATAAGCTACAGGTTGACATGACCTGCAGGAAACAAGAACCTGCAGATTAAAAGACCCTGTAGGTTCTTGTTTCCTGCAGGTGAAACACGTGAAATCGAAAGTGGGGAGGAAATGAGAAAGCCAATCAAGGCAAGTGGAAAGGAAGAGGGGATGAGGGAAGGGAAGCAATGGGGAAGGGAAGGATGACTAGCACCCAACTAACACTAACACTCACTCACAACCAATGAATATCGCGGACGATCTCGCGGTGCTTACGGAGGTCCGAATGCGCGATAAGGATATCGTCGAGGTAGATCATGACGTCTCCTGAGAGAATGAGATCCTGGAAAATGTCATTCATCATCGTTTGGAAAGTCGCGGGGGAGTTCGTCAGGCCAAAATACATCACCAAAGGTTCGAACAACCCTCGGTTGGTCCGAAAGGCCGCCTTCCACTCGTCTCCTTCTTTAATCCGGACGTTATTAAAGCCCCAGCGAACGTCGAGTTTGGTGAAGTAACGGGCGCCCTTAAGCCTGTTGATAAGGTCATTAATCAACAGGAGGGGGTACCGGTTCTTAATCGTCATTGCGTTGAGGGCGCGGTAGTCCTGGACAAACCGAAGTCCTCCGTCCTTTTTCTTAACGAAGAAGACGGGGGAAGCCATCGGAGATTTCGAAGGGCGGATACGGCCTGTGGCAAGTCCCTCCTCGATGAACTCGTCAAGTTCGTGCTGTTCAAGGGGGAGATCGGATACACCTTGCAATTAGCGGGCTTCGCGTCGGGAACGAGTTCGATAGCGTGGTCCCAAGCCCTCCGCTCTGGTAACGTGTCGAAGGACTCCTTGTCAAAGACGTCTTGGAACTCCTTGGCCCAGTCCGGAATCTCCGAAGGCGGGGGGGCCGAGTTGCGGGCGAAGGCCTCTGCAAGGCGTTGGGACACGGTGCTCCCAGCGCGAATCTCCTCGATTGGGCGGAAGGAGGTGTAGAAGATGCGGTCGCCGTCTTCAAGATGCTCGTCGTCGTCAAGGTCTGGTGAGCGCTCCGGAGGGTCCGAAGGAGCTCCGAGTTCGTCGTCGGCATCGTCTGGGCCAGCGATAT